GCCTGTCTGTAGGTCCAGTTGGAAGCGGGGCCTGGTGCCGTTCTGTTTGCCAGCGACACGCTGAGATCTTGGGCTTCAGCCGAAGGACTTGAGTGACAAAGGTCCGGTTCAGCTGGGAACGGTTCTAGAGGGGAGTGGTTCAAGCCCCACTCAGCATGTTTCTTGCATGGGTGTCTTAAAGGATTTTGACACTCTCCCAAAGTCACATGTTTGTGTCTCAGCTTTATGTGTGGTAGCTTTATCGTGCCCAGAGATACCTTCCTACGCCATGAAGGTAGATGTTTACTTGCCCAGTGGCGATGGTTGCTCCATAACAGTGTCACCGGAGATGCTCGTGAAAGAGCTGAAGGCTGCAGCGCAGCATCATTTCCAGCGCCGCTTCATCCTCACTGCGAAAGGCCAGCAGCTTGATTTGACGGCCACGTTGATCGAGGCCGGGCTGATGGGGACGTGGTGGATGCAATTGTGCAGCTTGGCAAACTGGCTGCCACTGCCAGAGCCTTCGGTTGGTATGCCCACGGGGACGAAGTTGTGACATGGGGTGCTGCAGGATCTGGCGGAGACAGCAGCGAAGTTCAGAAGCAGTTGAGGAACGTCCAGCACATTCAAGCAACACATGGTGCCTTTGCTGCCATTCTTGAATGCGGGGCTGTTGTAACCTGGGGTCATCCGGGAGTTGGCGGAGACAGCAGCAAGTTGCAAGAGCAGCTGAGGAACGTTCAGCACATCCAATCGACTGGCTGTGCTTTTTCTGCCATTCTTGAATCTGGGGATATTGTAACCTGGGGTGATTCATCATATGGCGGAGACAGCAGCCAGGTTCAGGAGCAGCTGCGGAAGGTCAAGCGCATCCGAGCAACTGATGGTGCTTTTGCTGCCATTCTTGAATGTGGGGCTGTTGTAACCTGGGGTGATCCGGGATGGGGCGGAGACAGCAGCCAGGTGCAAGAGCAGCTGAGGAACGTCCAGCGCATCCAAGCAACTAGAGCTGGTGCTTTCGCCGCCATTCTTGAATCTGGGGATATTGTAACCTGGGGTGATGCAGAATATGGCGGAGACAGCAGCCAGGTTCAGGAGCGTCTGAGAAACGTCAAGCGCATCCGAGCAAGTAGCCGTGCTTTTGCTGCCATTCTTGAATCTGGGGCTGTTGTAGCCTGGGGTCATCCGGGATGGGGCGGAGACAGCAGCCAGGTGCAAGAGCAGCTGAGGAACGTCCAGCACATTCAAGCAACCAGAGATGGTGTTTTTGCTGCCATTCTTGAATCTGGAGCTGTTGTGACCTGGGGTGATGCAAGCCAGGGAGGATATAGCAGCCAGGTGCAGGAGCAGTTGAGGAACGTTCAGCACATCCAAGCAACTGCCCTTGCTTTTGCTGCCATTCTTCAAAGTGGGGCTGTTGTGACCTGGGGTACTCGACCACACGGCGGAGACAGCAGCCAGGTGCAAGAGCGGCTCAGGAACGTCCAGCACATCCAAGCCACTCGTGGCGCTTTTGCTGCCATCATTCTTGAATCTGGGGCTGTTGTAACCTGGGGTGCTCCAACGCACGGCGGAGACAGCAGCCAGGTGCAAGAGCAGCTGAGGAACGTCCAGCACATCCAAGCAACTGATGGTGCTTTTGCTGCCATTCTTGAATGTGGGGCTGTTGTAACCTGGGGTCATCCGGGATGGGGCGGAGACAGCAGCCAGGTGCAAGAGCAGCTGAGAAACGTCCAGCGCATCCAAGCAACTGCCGCTGCTTTTGCTGCCGTTCTTGAGCCTGGGGCTGTTGTGACCTGGGGAAGTCCAGACATGGGCGGAGCCAGCTGCCAGGTGCAAGAGCAGCTGAGCTTGAATCTGGGGCTCTCGTAACATGTGGCCGTCCTGCACGTTTTGGGCGCTCAGCCGCGTTGAGGGAAAGGCGACAACTATTTTGGTATCGCAAGCTTCCACGTTCTTAAGAGTTTACCAATTTTCCACCAAAGGGGCGAGCTTCGGACCATTTGGTTTGAAGGAACCGTCCATGACCCCACAAAAGAGCAGGTACTAGCTTTGGACCATTGGCATTTGAAGGAACTATCCCCAGAGCGCTTTGCCAACGCCAAAGAACTCCGGGCTTCTGACCTAAAAACATCCCCCGGGTCTCTTTGCGCCTTCCCGACTTACCCGAGAGGGGGTGTCAGACGCTCGGGATGAACAAATCTACGCGTAAAAAAAGAAAAAGAAAAAAAAACCTCGCGCAATGCCCGGGTTCTGCGCCCCAAGGTAGCCACCTGGAAACCCATTTTTTTGTCGTGTTTTATCTGTCCATACGGCTTGGGCCACCAACAAGCATGGCCACACGGCCATTCGCGGCTTTTTGCCAAGAATCAGTTGAACGAATACGGGTTGACGGCCAAATACGGCCTGCCAGACGCAAAAACGATCCAAAAGATGGCACGGTAGGGACGGTAGGGACCAAGGCACGGTAGGGACCAAGATGTTTGGTTCCCGGGACGGGTTCCAAATCGCAGGATAGGAACCACCTGGCGCCCCGTATGGCTTTTTTTTCATCTTCATTTTTTTCTTGGGTCAAAGGCGCACGACCTAAAAGCAACGGCCATATGGGGTCACTGGCCGTAGTTTTTTTGTTGTTGGCCTTTCGGTGCCAAAAGGTTCCCGTGTCGCTGACCCCGAGATTCGCGATTCCGTGGACAGAGGGCTAGAGTAGACTTCCAGGTGAGGGGTTCAAAACACGCAAGCGGTAGACATCGAGGAACACGACGAGTGGCTTTTTCCTTACCACTACCCAATACCCGGCATTTTTTTTGGCTTCATGTCGACCCTCTACAAAAAAAGGGATCGGTATTTACCATCGAAAGCCGTTCGGTTTTCCAAAAAATACCAACTGAAAAACAAAAAACGTGGGTCTTTGGAGGTGACGGGGGTAGACTGGAGTCTGAAGTTTCCCCTTCGGTTCGTTTTTTTTTTTCCAGGGGTCCTTCTGGTTCTGGGGAAGCGAAATGGGAAGCGGGTCGTTGAGCCGAAGCGATTTTCGGCTCCGGCTTCAGGGAGCTGTTTTGGAGATGCTTCGGGTTTGCAGTCGCCATGGCGCCTTTTTTTTACCCCTACTCCAAAACCGGTTACGGTTTTCCATGGTGTAAGGGTGGGTATTGGGTGTAAGGGGTAGGTTTTCTTAAGGGAATGGTTTGAACAACCGAGTGGTTTTCCATGGTAAATACCGATCCCTTTTTCAGTAGAGGGTTTACATGATACCCTAAAAAAAGGCCGGGTATTGGGTGTAAGGGGTAGCCTTTATAAGTTTTAAAGGGAAACCCGACGGAGAAGCGTTGGGCGAAAGGTTGTTTTTTTTGGCGGGGGGATCCGAATCCTAAATAAACTAAAGAGACACACCATCACGCCAGGGTTGCACTAGCTTTTGTTCACGCCCTAGTTGGAGTTGGTACCCTTTGTTTGGTAGGTTTTAAAAGGGACACCAGACGGAAAATCACCACTGAGGAGCGTCCAACACATCCAAGCAACTGAGCGAGCTTTTGCTGCCATTCTTGTAGACCATTTTCATACTTGGTTTTGAATTTGACTGGATTGGTCTCGTCCGAAAAGGTGATACCTTCTTTCCGATCGCGGTTCCGTGGACAGAGGGCTTCAGACTTCCAAATTCCGGCTTCCATTGGAGGGAGGGTACCTGGTTGAACCCCTTTGCGAACGAAAGCAGAGTAGACTGTCCCCATCGCTTGGCATAGCTGCGGAGCCCCGAAGGCCCCATCTCTGCAGTTTGGTTCGAAACCGCCAGCGCGGTCAGTGGTTTTTCCCGGGCGCCTTGGGGAAAACCTTTGGAACTTTGAGCCCACTTTGAACAAAGTCTAGGTCCCCAGCTAGGTGCCCTTTTTAACCCCTTTTTTGTTGGGAGGGTTTCCCTACTAAAAAAGACTACAGAAAAAAGTTGGTACCATTATTTATTGTTTTTTTATTGGAAGACCTAGAAGTACTCCTTATAAGAATTCGATGTTTGAGCCCGGGGTTCCTGGCACAGACCGGAGTCATTTAGGAGCGAGTTGTTTTTGAATCTCTGGTGGAATGTACCCTGGGAGAACCCCTACCAATCCACCCCGCGGCGGGTACCGTGACCATTTTTTAGATTGGTTCAAACATCATCTATCGGGAAGGAGCCAACTGAAGTTCGTATCTCTGAGACTTGCAAAGCGAACTGGCAGGATGAAGGATGGTAAACGAGCAATGGTTTTGTTGGTTTTTGCCTGCGTAGGACTACCTAGGTGTGCAGACAATTGGGGAGAACACCAGAATCGGATGCATTTTTTTGGAACACCCATTTCAGCAACGGGAATCAAGATTTCAGGCTGATGCTCAACTCTTTTGACTGAAGCCCCAGAAGCCAAGATATCCCTGCTGAACATGTGATGTGGGTGCATAGGCCGTAACCAGGGTTCATAGGGTCAACCATCATCCCTTAGAGCTTGCATGGCCATCAGAAGGCTTGCCGCAACTCAAGAGGAATCCTCCACATCACAATGGTCTGAATGACCCTTTGTTCAGTGGCAGTTGCAAAGGGGTGATATATCATCTTTCCAACAAACATGGAAGGACACAACACCTTTACAACAGGACTGTAGTCTTCCAAGACCCTCCTCTCAGCTTCCATGAAAGTTGAATAAGATTTCCCCAGCATCGGCCGACTTGGTAGATCTTTACCTTGCGTGGGTACCCCTCATTTGGTCAACCCCACGTCTATCTGGTACGAATTTTACTAGGGAAGCTGCCTGAAAAGGCGTTGGTGGACATCAACTTCCACGGTAAATGATGTCCATCAAAGGGGTTCCCATCCCCACCCGATCTTTCGGCGTGTTTTCTCAGGGTTCGGAGCCCCCAAAATGCAGTCCGGCTTTCCTTCAGGTTATTCCACGAAAATCACTGGTGAAAAGAAAGGTAGCCACTCAACCAAAGATGAGGTGCTTATCTTGAACGCCAACAAAAACAGGGGAACGAACTCGTCCGCGCCGGAGGTCCTTCAGCGGGTGACCCAGATGCAGGGCTTCCTGCAGCCGCGACCCCAGCTGCCGAAGGTGGGAGGTGCGCGAAAGGCTGATATGGCTGGTTCTTTTAGGTCTTTTACGCTTTTGGCCGAAACACCATATTATGGCCATACGGATTTTTATGGCTTTTCTTAACAACATTTTTTGCTGTGCCCATTCTTAAGTCTACGCGGAAGTGGGACCTGGGCGAACCATACCCCCGAATCATACCACCATATCCCCGAACCATACCCCGATTCATACTACCCCCGACAAAAATCCAAAAAGGCGTCTTCAAAACTGCTGACCTTGTACGCCTGTTTGAAAGCCTTATCTAAGAACGGCCTGTCCCGGGCAACGCAATAGTCTCCAAGCAGTGTTCTGCGTCAAAGGGTGGACTTGCGCGCTCGGCTTTGGTGTGTGTACTGCCGCTCCCGGCGAGGCGCGCGGTAAATTGACCAAGAAGGCTTCGAAGGGCCAGTTCCAAGTGCAAGGGCGCTGCCGCTTGCAGCTGCCCCGCCTGATTGCAAGCTTCTTAGTCATGCTCGCTTTGCGTCTTTCCGTTAGCAGAAATCTTCCCCACGATTCACACCCCACTCCATACCCGATTCATACCCCGAGTCATACCCTTTCGCAGCCATCTGCAACCAAGAGTCTCGCGCGCTGGGCAGCAAGAGTGAAGCCACAGGGACCAGATTTTCAAACACAGGCGGGGATTGCGGAACGAGGTCGCAGCCTTGAAGGAAGAGTTCGACACCTTGCCAGCTGCGTCCTGCGAGGGTGAATCGTCTCGCCTGTGCTCGAAGAATGGCAAGCAGCAAGCCTGCCTTTCATTGGCGGGCGTGCCAAAGCAAGCAAGTTCTTGTCAGCTCTGGGGCCCGCGAGGACAAACTGCTAAGCGAAAACCCGCGCGCAAAAGCAAAGCGCGTGCGCCCGCAATCTCTCTGAGGAGGCGCGTGTCTACTTGCTGAAGTCTGACAGCTCGGGCTTGAGCGAGTGAAGTACAAGTGTCGTGGCTGCTTTGCCTGCTGCTCCTTGAGGTTTTGCGCGCTGAGCCTCCTTCCTGCGTAGACATTCAATGAGGGTCCCAACGGCTTGCCCGCGGAGCGTGGTCTGTCGCAGCTGCCTGGCGGGTGTGTTGGGGGTGTTTGCGTGTCCGCAGAGCATGCTCTGGCCACTGGTGAGGCATCAGGCTTCAGTGTGCCACGGCTGGCGGGAGCTTCCGATTTTAGCTTGTCGCAGCGGGCTAGTTCCTGCAATTCATACCCCCTACACCAACTTCCCGGCGCGGGCACGTCACATATGTGTATATATATATATACATATATATATATATATATATATTTATACACATGGACATGAACACTCACAGGCACACAGAACGCAGGTTATTCAGCATGCTTATGTATCGCGCATTTACATATGCATTTCATGAAGCATGTTCATTTGGCACAGCAAGAAGAACGGCCGCTTGCCGCACCTTGCGGGTGGCCATAGACGCAAGAGTCAAAACCCCAACAGGGAGTTTAGACGGCCATGATGAGGGCTTGTCTTAAGGGAGCCATGACCATGGGCCTCATGATGAGTTTTCACCACTGAGATATCCTCCGGATGTTCACCGAAAAACATCTCAGGGGTCTGTTTCTCATTTGCTTTTGTCCACCTGGTCTGGCTCCCGGCTGTCCTGATTTCAATACCCCCGGTCGAATACCAAGAAGCTCGCAGTGTGCCATTGCCATGTGCCATGTGTACCACTGTGTGCGATGCCTTGTTGAGTTTGATGCTATCGCATCTAGGAAAGACCTGCTCGAAACAAACAAACATGAATTTGGTGGGCGGGGTGGTGGTTGGAGTGGGGTGGGGTTTGGGTAGGGGCTGGCGGAAAGTGGGGCTTGGGTGGGGTGGAGGTGGTGGGTGGGAGGGGCTTTGAGGTGGGGTTGCTTGGTGGTGGTGTTGGGACTTAAGGGTGGGGTGGGATTTGAGGGTGGGGGTTTGAGCTTGGCAAGAGGAGTGGTCTGGGAGAGGGACACGCGCATGCAAAAGCTGCTCGGCAGGCCGGCCTGGCTGAGCAGGGAAGGGCCTCTCACGCGCTGCGCTCGCCGACGTGGCTTCGAGGCACGGCCCTGTAGAAGGCCCCCAAAGTTTGCGGTCGTGGAGTTGCCAAGCGACAAGACGCGCGGACAGAGGAGGAGGATGATCCGCAGAGCGTCCTTAGATTGCGTGAGCAACGGCCACGCTTCTTGCGCGCTGCAAGTCTTTCAGCGGCGAGCTGAGCGACGAGGAGACGGCCTCACCCCATTCTGGAGTCTTCGTGATTCTCAGACAAATTGCGTGTTGCGCCCTTAAACATATGACGTACGGAAGCCTCACATGGGTCGAAGACTCTATGTAATTTGCCAATTCATCTTTGTGGAAGACGCAAATCGCCGCTGAGTGATTGCGCGAGGCAGTGTTCCAGGTTTGGAGAGAATTGAGAAATATCCTTGTTGCCCCTCCAAGCGAAAGAGGCTCTGCGCAGCAAGAGGGTGGGGTGGGGGGTGGGGGGTGGTGGCTTGCGAATTCTGCAACGGCTGGACGGGTGCCCTGAGAGGGGGGGGGTGGACTGTTAATTAGAGGGCTACAAGCGCCGCCGCAAGAGCGCCGGACCCACCACCCCAGACAATAACCCCACGACGGGGCAAACCTTCGGCCCTTGGATGCGCGCCCGAAAAATCGGCGCGGCAGGAAGCAGGCCGCGATGGAGCGCGGCAAAGGCTTGTCGAGCACAGGGGCGCAAAGCAACCATTCTGGAGTCTCCATGACCCTCAGACAAATTACGTGTTGCGCCCTCAAACATATGATGCGTGGCAGCCTCACATTGCGCGAAGGGTATCGTGTAATTCGCAGGTTCATCCTTGTGGAAGACGCAAATCGCCGCTGAGAAATTGCGCAAGACTGTGTTCCAGGTTTGGAGAGAAATGTCCTTATTGCCCTTAGAATTTTTTCCGGGTCCAAGGAGCTCTGCTCAGTAAGAATGGTGGCTTGGGGTGGCTTGGGGTGGTGGGGCTTGGGGTGGGGTGGGTGGGGGAGGGGTGGGTGGGACTTCTTGGGTGGGGTGGGTGTGGGGTGGGCTTCACAAAGCCGAAAACTGGCATAGCCGAGGTCCGGGCGGGTGGACCCCGGTATCACCCCAGCCCTGGAGCAGTCGGTGCAGCTTTCAGGCGACTTTTCGGCGCCGATGTTTCCGGCGCCGATTTCCTCGAAAAAGGCCATTCCCAGTAGTGCCCTTCTCTCCCTTTTTGGCAGGGAGGGTTCCCCTACTAAAACAAACTAACGGCAAAAAGGGTACTCTTATTCTAACCTCTCTATTGGAGGACCTCGGGTAGATGAAGGTTAAGGGATAATCCCCTTGCCACAGCTTGCTGCGGATGTCCGCCTTAAGTCCTTACATGGTTCTGGGAAGACCATGTTAATGCCGGCTTTTGAGCAAGTGACTCCATGGGGCACTTTGTGAATTCCGCGGTTTCGATGAGACATTTCATGAGGAGCCTGGGCTGGCGGATGTTCACTGATCCCCCAAGAAGGGGGAACAACAGGCCGTCGCTAGGGTCCTGGGAGGGGGGAATCGCCAAGGGCCAACTTGAGCATAGATTTGGTCCCGCTCGGTCTCCACCAGAACAACATACTTTTAAGGGTCGAAATAGAGCAGTCTCTGCACATACGATTTGCTGCTTACCCCAGATGTGGGCCGAGACTTGATCCCGAGGGGGGAATGTGGATTGACGGACTCAATCCACATGGAATGTTGCATCAAAATCAGCTGGTTTTCCAATATCCGGGATGCATGTCTTTTTGCTGCTCTGGTCAACCAGACCAACAAGTTGCAGTGTGAACTTCTGCTCGACGGCCGTCTGTGCCTTTCGAAGCCGTCGCCCAGTCGGCTTCCAGCGCTCGTTTTCGGCTTCCGGGAGCCGGTCGCTCGACGCCCACGACGTCGCCAGGCTACAGCCGGCTCCTCTCGAAGCCCATGAAAGCCAAGGCTGTCCCGAAGGCGGGGCGGCTCGGGGTCCCGGTCCAACTCAGATGTTATCTAGGTCCCCCAGTAGTGCCCTTCTCTCCCCTTTTTTGGTTGGGAGATTCGGTTCCGCTACTAAAATAGACTACAGAAAAAAAAATGGTACCCTGATACTAACCTCTCTACTGGAGGACCTAGAGTTTCTTCGCCAAGCACCTGGAAACAGGAGATGTGCAAGTAGGGTCCCTTCCCAAAATATGTTTTCTTTGTCGGAAACTTGCCCAGTTTCTGGACTGCCATGTTGTTGGGACACAAGGATTCCTATTGACGATTTCTCCACCTGCGAAAAGTGCCTGGAGTCTCCCAAAGGACCCCTTAAACATGGTTGGTCATGACCCCGAAATTTTTGGGCAATGACCAACCATTCTGAAAGGGTCCTTAGGGAGACTCCAGGTGGTGACCCCATTTTTTGGGGTAATGAAAGGGTCCTTAGGTTCGATTCTTCCCTTTTTCCTTCCAGCGCTGGGCTTCTGAATCCTTTGGTGTTCTGAAATCCGAAGATGGCAATGGCAACAAACGCACAACGCCCATATTTCTGGGTCAAATCCAATGGGTCCCATTTGGGGGTGGTTGCACCACCAATTTTAGAACCTATTTTAGTGGGGATTGGGATGTTCACTGGGGGTACGATTTGGCTTTTGACCCACGGCCATTTGCCGAAATGAATATTTGTCCAATTTCCCCCTGCCGGTTTTATAGGGACCTGGGGCCCCAAAACACTGTTTTTTCTTGGTCAAAAGGCTTTGCCCGAAAAAAAGTGGTCATACGGCCAAATACGTTTTCCTTCGCTTTCTTTTCAATATTTTATCGACAAAATACGGGTTTTATACGGCCAAATACGGGCAACTCTGGCAAATGACCGAAAAAAACAACCTTTCGGGTAAAAACATGCCAAATATGCCTTTTGACCGAAAAAAAGTGGCGTTTCGGGGCTCCAGGGAATCACTACCGGAAATGTACCATTAGTTTGTCCAGGGAACTGATTCGCGAACACAGGACAAGAGAATGTGTTGTGAAAAAGAATGGGGGAGCAACGTTTATTGTATTGGCATGTGAATCTTAGTGGGGCCGCTTGGTGGAGACATCATTTAGGCGTTGTGAGTTGGTTCCCAAGTTGATAAGTATCCATGTGTTTCCTCAACTAGCGGAATTGAAGCATCAGCTTTGGGCCGACAAATAGCGCGAACTCCGAACGTGCGGTGCCCCTTTCGTCCCAGTTTAGAGGGTGCTTTTAAAATCAGCTTTACCACAAGAGTGGCGTTCCCCTTGGACAGGGGTTTGGGCAGAGAGGTTCCGAATGTGGGGTGTAAGGAGGAAGGCGTGGACCCCCTATCACAAAGCGTTTTGGTCCCGAAACCCAAGAGCAGCCCACTCAAGTTCCTGCACTTTACCTGCAGTCTTGCTAAGGACCCTCAAAATGTGGTCATTTTCCAAACATAAAAAAGACTGGTTAGTTAGTCCCTTTTTGGGCCTGGTTGCCATTCTTGTGCCTTTTTGTTGCTCAATTTGTGTGTTAAGCGCAATCTCCCCGAAGGCGAACATTCCCGACCGCGGCGCAAACACATGCGGCCGCCCGCGTTTTTTTGGCCCTAAACACATTTTTCACGCCAGCGACAAAACACACGCTCTTTTTGTTTGGCCAACGCCTATTTTTTTTCACCCCCGGAAGGTCCAGGTATCCCAGGGAGTCCAAAGGCCTGAGTTAAAGCCTGAGTTACGGAGGCCGTTTAAACATTTTTTTTGTTTTTAACATATATATATATATATATATATAACTTTTACGGGGTGTTTACGTCCTTTTTACGGGCTTTTTACGTTGCTTTTTTTACGGGGTGTTGAAACCGGCCGTTGACAAAAGTTGCCCAAGTTACGGCCCTTCGGAAGCTCTGGGTATGGATTTCGCACGCTTCATGGGGACCTTTTTGACCCTAGCGAGATCAGAGATCCGGTCGCGAACTGGGCAGTGCGCCCCCGCTCGAAAGCAGAAAGCGGGCCTTGCACTCGCAGTGCAAAAGTGAGCGTTCGCCCAGGCATTGAGATGTGGCAAAGAGATGTTGTTGGGAGAATGGCACAGGGGCAATATAGGTGTGGCTCAAATCAAGAGCTAGGGTTGCGCAGGTTTTGGTCGTTGCTTCCATTTACCTTTTGGTGCCATGTTGGTACATCTTTTTGAGCCGGAGAAGTCGTCACGAGGCAAATTAGAAGGCACGACCGAACCATCCAAAGGTCTACCGGCCGGGTCGCTTTGGCCGATGCTCAAAGCCTCTCAGCCTGTGCTGCAGCCCTTTGGGTGTGTGGGACCCCAAAAATTCGCCGCGACCGTGGTTCCTTTCGGTTTTCCTTTTCCAAAAAACGGGGGGTCCGGTCCCACTGTCGCCCCAAGAGACGAGCCACGGAGGTTTGTTTGGCTGCAAGAACTTGACGTGCAAGAACTTGTTTAGCTTGCACCGGTTCATGGGGAACAGGTTCCACACTTGGAAACCCATATGTGACGGTTGTTTTTTCCTGTCCATACGGCTTGGGCCACAAAAAATGACCATACGGCTTGTCACCGGTTCCACACTTTATTGACAGAAGGTCAACCCAATCTATTTCTGTGTGATTTGGGCAAGTGAGAGAGGTCACAATCTTTAGATGCGGTTGAGCAAACGGATTGGTGACACGCTGCGTGTGCTAGCACAGTGGTTCAAGACCAAGGGCGCTCGCAAATGATTGAGATTGTCAGCGTCCAAACTCAGGAAAGGTCATCCCAAACTCGCATGTTCTTGTTCTTGTCTCATGCTCTTGTTTGGCAGCTTTAACTCACCCGGAACTGTACCCCCGACTCCAAATACTCACTTTTTTTAGGGTATCATGTCGACCCTCTACAAAAAAAGGAAGTATCTACCGTGACAAAACCAGGTTTTCCAAAAAGTACTCAGAAAAAGTGGGCATTTGGAGTAGGGGGTATTCCTGCGCCATGAAGGTGGATGTTTACCTGCCCAGTGGAGCTGGGTGCTCCATAGCAGTCTCACCGGAGACGCCCATCAGCGAGCTGAAGGCTGCGGCACAGCACAAGTTCCAGCGCCGCTTGAAGCTTACCGCGGAAGGCCGGGAGCTCGATTTGACGGCCACGCTGAGTGAGGCCGGCTTGCGAGATAGGGATGTGTTGACTGCGGTTGTCCAGCTTGCCAATGTGGCTGCCACTGACAGGGCGTTTGCTTTTCATGGTTATGGGGGCCAGGTTGTGACCTGGGGTGATCCAGAAGAAGGTGGAGACAGCAGCCAGGTGCAAGAGCAGCTGAGAAGTGTCCAGCACATCCAAGCAACTGACCATGCTTTTGCTGCCATTCTTGAATCTGGGGCTGTAGTGACCTGGGGTGATCCACGCTATGGCGGAGAAAGCAGCCAGGTGCAAGAGCAGCTGAAAAATGTCCAGCACATCCATTCAACTGACTTTGCCTTTGCTGCAATTCTTGAACCTGGGGGTGTTGTGACCTGGGGTTATGCAGAATACGGCGGAGACAGCAGCCGGGTGCAAGAGCAGCTGAGGAACGTCCAGCGCATCCAAGCAACTGGCGGTGCTTTTGCTGCTATTCTTGACTGTGGGGCTGTTGTGACCTGGGGTCCGGCGCGACACGGCGGAGACAGCAGCCAAGTGCAAGAGCAGCTGAGGAACGTCCAGCACATCCAAGCAACTGCCTGTGCTTTTGCTGCCATTCTTGAATCTGAAGCTGTTGTGACCTGGGGCAATCCAAGGGCTGGCGGAGACAGCAGCCAGGTGCAAGAGCAGCTGAACAATGTCCAGCGCATCCAAGCAACTCGTCGTGCTTTTGCTGCCATTCTTGAATCTGGGACTGTTGTGACCTGGGGTGATCCAGGCTTTGGCGGAGACAGCAGCCGGGTGCAAGGGCAGCTCAGGAACGTCCAGCACATCCAAGCAGCTGCGAATGGTGCTTTTGCTGCCATTCTTGAATCTGGGGCTGTTGTGACCTGGGGTGATCCAAACTTTGGCGGAGACAGCAGCCGGGTGCAAGAGCAGCTGAAGAACGTCCAGGACATCCAAGCAACTGAGCAGGCTTTTGCTGCCATTCTTGAATCTGGGGCTGTTGTGACCTGGGGTCATCCAATGGCTGGCGGAGACAGCAGCCAGGTGCAAGAGCAGCTGAAAAATGTCCAGCACATCCATTCAACTGACTTTGCTTTTGCTGCCATTCTTGAATCTGGGGCTGTTGTGACCTGGGGTCATCCAGCCCGTGGCGGAGACAGCAGCCAGGTGCAAGAGCAGCTGAGCCGGAATGTGGGGTTGTTGTCACATGGGGACGTTCAGTGACTGTGGCGCCATGCGGGAAAAGGGGAACAACAAATCGAATTCCACAGTTGCATTCGGCATGCAGAGTGTTGGTTTGGGCTGGTTATGGATCCTTGCTTATCATGGGTTGTGGGTAGTCTGGTGTGGATAATGACCTGAGAGAAAGTTGGCTGGTCCGCTGTTTTTGGTAAATTGGAGTCCAAATTCAGCTGACGTTTTTTGTGACTATGGACAGGAACAGTGGACGTTTGCACCTCATGCGGGCGAATCGGGTTCCTTTGCAATTGGGATACATCCCCGCATCCCTCTGGTGGAGGGATATGGGTTTGGAATCGTTTCAGGGGATTCGGACCCCCAAGGATTTGGTTTTCCTTCTGTTTTTCCCTTTAAGCACCACAAAAACGAGGGTCCCTTCGCACATCCAAATTTCAATCGTGACAATTGCCCTTGAAAGGAATATATTGCCAGGGATCTGAGGAACTCTCGTGCTCACTGGTACAGGCCAACCCCAAAAAAAATCCCCAATGGCTGGGGGTTAACAAGGCCCACTGATCCAGAATCTTGCCCAAAGCGAATCGACCTTTTGATCGTTTGGTTTCCTTTTGGGTTCCCACAATTCGCCTGGTTCCAAACGGCTATAAAGCGCCTCTTATTTGACTCCATTTGGGTCCCGAAAAGTCCCCTC